TATAAAAAGAAGAAGTGATGCAGTCAGTCTCTCCTCAACTCTTAGCCAAGAGAGACTGGCATGCATAGTATTTATATCAGCCCTCTGATTACAATGAAGAGCAAGACGTGCCGCTCTGTTCTGGGCCAATCGCAGCTTAACTAGGTCTATCCTTGCAGCATTGGATCACATGACTGGAGAATAATCAAGATCAGACTAAACTAGAGTCTGCAGGACTTGGTGTGTGTGTGTGTGTGTGTGTGTATGTGTGTGTGTGTGTGTGTGTGTGTGTGTGTGTGTGTGTGTGTGTGTGTGTGTGTGTGTGTGTGTGTACACGCAGGCTGCTTCCAGCTTGTAGTTGTGTCATTACTGTGAGCTATAGGCTAATGGCTGGTTAGGGGAGAGGTTGTTGCTGAGCTATAGGCTAATGGCTGGTTAGGGGAGAGTAAATTACTGAGGTGATCAAGTCATTCAACTTTAGCACAGAATGACACTGTGAACCACAAGTAGGCTATGTAAGTAAGTACTCCCACCTGACAGGAATCATGTATATTAGTATGTTATGTATCTTAGACGATAACATTGTGCCAAGGTAGTAGAAGGCTGTACAAATAGGATTAATCGTGGAACAACCACAACATTTCATTGCATTACATTGACATTAATTGGGTGGAAATGCTCATTATCACAGCTTTACCAGACAGCATTTAACCCATTATCACAGCTTTATCAGACAGCATTTAGCCCATTATCACAGCTTTATCAGACAGTACAAGACAGGGTTATCCTAGTGTCCTTGCTCATTAAATGGAGCATTCAGCCAGATGAGGAGGCAATAACCAGACTGACTGGCTGAGAAGCAGAGACCTAATGAGGTTTAAATCAACGTTCATTTTAGACAGGGAATGAAGTCAGCCGTGTAATCAGCCTGTTACAAGGTTCTTCTGACAGCTTCTATGATATCAGCATGCAACAAGACAAGCGAAACACACTGAGTGTGTGTGTGAGTCTGTGTGTGTGTGTGTGTGTGTGTGTGTGAGTCTGTGTGTGTGTGTGTGAGTCTGTGTGTGTGTGTGTGAGTCTGTGTGTGTGTGTGTGTGTGTGAGTCTGTGTCTGTGTGTGTGTGTGTGAGTCTGTGTGTGTGTGTGTGAGTCTGTGTGTGTGTGTGTGAGTCTGTGTGTGTGTGTGTGAGTCTGTGTGTGTGTGTGTGAGTGCGTCTGTGTGTGTGTGGTGTGTGAGTCTGTGTGTGTGTGTGTGGTTGTGTGTGTGTGGTGAGTCTGTGTGTGTGTGTGTGTGTGTGGTGTGTGAGTCTGTGTCTGTGTGTGTGTGTGTGAGTCTGTGTGTGTGTGTGTGTGAGTCTGTGTGTGTGTGTGTGAGTCTGTGTGTGTGTGTGTGAGTCTGTGTGTGTGTGTGTGAGTGCGTCTGTGTGTGTGTGTGTGAGTCTGTGTGTGTGTGTGTGAGTGCGTCACTCTCCCTATGAAACACTATTAACTCACTCTGATCTAAACAACAGGAAGCAGCTTGGTAACATTCTGAGTCACGTAGAAAGACGTCAGCAAACATATTTAGGTGACAGTTTATTTGAATATTTACAGTATTGAATTAACATAGCCCAGTGATAATTATTGAATACTCTCAGACTAGATTCGGACTGCATTGAATTTCAAATAAATGACAAATCATTATCAACTGCTTTCAAAATAACTCTATTTGATGATCTGAATGATCTGAATAGTTTTTCTGTGTGTGAAACCCCAATTTTTTACTTAGTTTGATATCATCACTTATCATAAAATACTTTAATTGGCTGTTACTGTAGTGCTGCAACCAGTGTTATGGGGGGAACAGGGGGCTCAGTCCCCCGAATGAGACGTTATCTCCCCTGAATGAGACGTTATCTCCCCTGAATGAGACGTTATCTCCCCTGAATGAGACGTTAGCTCCCCTGAATGAGACGTTAGCTCCCCTGAATGAGACGTTATCTCCCCTGAATGAGAAGTTATCTCCCCTGAATGAGACGTTATCTCCCCTGAATGAGACGTTATCTCTCTTGAATGAGACGTTATCTCTCCTGAATGAGACATTATCTCCCCTGAATGAGACGTTATCTCTCTTGAATGAGACGTTATCTCTCTTGAATGAGACGTTAGCTCCCCTGAATGAGACGTTATCGCCCCTGAATGAGAAGTTATCTCCCCTGAATGAGACGTTATCTCTCTTGAATGAGACGTTATCTCTCCGGAATGAGACGTTAGCTCCCCTGAATGAGACGTTAGCTCCCCTGAATGAGACGTTATCTCCCCTGAATGAGACGTTAGCTCCCCTGAATGAGACGTTAGCTCCCCTGAATGAGACGTTAGCTCCCCTGAATGAGACGTTATCTCTCCTGAATGAGACGTTAGCTCCCCTGAATGAGACGTTAGCTCCCCTGAATGAGACGTTATCTCCCCTGAATGAGACGTTAGCTCCCCTGAATGAGACGTTAGCTCCCCTGAATGAGACGTTAGCTCCCCTGAATGAGACGTTAGCTATATTTGAACCCCTCTCCTACTGTTACTTCTATAGTGGTACATAAAGCTTGTTCCAGGTGAAAGGAACAGCCCCACCTCTCTGTCATGGTTTAAACCAGTGACAGTTGGTTCAAATCAAAATCAAATCAAATTGTATTTGTCACTTGCGCCGAATACAACAGGTGTAGACCTTACCGTGAAATGCTCACTTACAAGCCCTTAACCAACAATGCAGTTTTTAAGAAAATAGAGTTAATTTACTAAATAAAGTAAAGTTAAAAATTAAAAAAATTAAAGAAAGTAACACAATAAAATAACAATAACGAGGGTATATACAGGGGGTACCGGTACCGAGTCGCGGTTAGTCGCGGTAATATGTACATGTTGGTAGGGTTCTTTCAATCACATTAAAATCTCTACTCTGCCTGTCTGCCTCTCTCTGTCTGTCTTGAGCTTTCGCTAGCAAACTTCCAACAATGTATCGGCAGGATCCAGTCCGCTATCAAACTTCCAACATTGTTTCAACTGGGCTCTCACAGTTTCCCCCGCCAATGAGCTCAGGACAGACACAGCTGTATTTGCCCCTTTTCAAGTGTCCCAACTTTTCATTTTACTAAAAGACACATTAATTCAGGCTACAAGAGTGTAGGCTCAATGACAACCGCCGAATGTCATTACACTTTGGGTGTTTTGTAACTGATGTCTCATCCCACACAGTGCACTGTTTGGATGCTGGAATTATTTTGGAGTGGACGAACGTTCGCAGGTAGACTACTTCTTGAAGTGACAATCAGATGAAAACATCATCACTGGTTGTGTTGAACACACACATAACACACATGAAAAACTCCCACCAGCAAAGTGTGTCATCCCTTAGTAATATCTCAGCTACAATATGTAGGCCGGGGCAACACACACACACACACACACACACACACACACACACACACACACACACACACACACACGCGCACACACACACACACACACACACACACACACACACACACACACACACACACACACACACACACACACACACACACACACACACACACACACACACACACACACACACACACACACACACACACACATTCTCTTACTCTCACTTTCACTCTCACTTTCACTCTCACTCACACTCACATACACACACACAACCAAGCACAACAGAACCACAACCCACTCACAACAGAACCACAACCCACTCACAACAGAACCACAACCCAGCACAACATAACTACACCACCATACAGAGTAGAAGCATGAGGTCATGGCTCCAAGCCCAGATTGCTACCTGCTGATTCACCAGCAGTACACTCACCTTTTAGTCATTTACACACAGATAAATAAGACATGTTGGGTTGTGTAGTGAGCTCTATTCCCTCTGTCTCTCTCTTCTCTCTGGGCTCTCTTCACTGAGCTCACTCCTCTCTCTCTTTATTCCTATTCTTCTTCTTCTTCTTCTTCTTCTTCTTCTTCTTCTTCTTCTTCTTCTTCTTCTTCTTCTTCTTCTTCTTCTTCTTCTTCTCTTCTTCTTCTTCTTCTCTTCTTCTTCTTCTTCTTCTTCTTTCTTCTCTTCTTCTTCTTCTTCTTCTTCTTCTTCTTCTTCTTCTTCTTCTCTTCTTCTTCTTCTTCTTATCCTTCTTATCCTTCTTATCCTCCTGTCTCCTCTGTCCGACTGGGGGCCTCACATGTTTACTGAACTAGCAGATAGCAGGTGGAGAGTTTTGTCTGAAAGGTAAAAATATATATATATATACTTTGTCATCGTTTCTTGTTGTTTATAATTAATTTGACTTTTCTGTGTTACAGGGTATTCTTCCACGTTGTGGTTGTTTTTAATTAACTAAATTAACTTGGTATCTTCATTACAGGGCAGAAAATGCTTTAATCAAACATAATGTGAAAGTTAATAGATTGGATCTGAACCAAATGAAAAAATCATACCTTTTTCCTGTAGTTATGATTCATATTTACAGTACATACATGTACGTCCTTTCAAATTGTCCTTGATTGTCTGATATTTTTTGTGATGCTCAAGATGCATCAAGACAGTATATTTTTTTCAGTGTCTCAATGCGTTAGTAATTATAATAATAGTGTATAAGGGGGGGGAAAAAATGTGGGGATATTTTTGAAAAGATGTAGACCACCGATAGTTATTTCTGCAATATTGTTTATATAACCATATGAGTGGTTTGCTTTGTGTTGTAATATATTTGTTTAGTGTGATGCGTTGATTCCTAAAGTGTAGAATGGACATGTAAACATGGCTTCAGACTATTAGCGCTAAGTGATAATAACAAAATGGAAAATATGTCATTTATCTTTTATTTTCAGATTTTGTTTTATTGAGTATTTATCACAAACATTTAATACGGCCATAACATACTGTTTTTTTTTTTTTTTTTAAACAATCTGCTATAATACTGCATTTCTGTGGGGGCTTAAAATGCATAAAATAGGTCAGAAGAAAAATGATTTGAAATCAAGAGAATGTCAGAAGACATGAAGAAGCTGCAGGCGGTTAAATAACACTGCACCAATATTCACCCCCCACAGACCTGGTGGCTGTGTGTGTGTGTGTGTGTGTGTGTGTGTGGTGTGTGTGTGTGTGTGTGTGTGTGTGTGTGTGTGTGTGTGTGTGTGTGTGTGTGAACAGAGCAGAGATGCGCTAGGGCTGCTGGCGCTAGGGACAGACCATGCCTAATAACTCATGTCATTACAACTGGGGAGGAAGGAGGAATTTCTATATTAACCCCCACAGATTGTTCAGCTGACAGAATCCATTCAGGCATTTAATTTCTATATTAACCCCCACAGATTGTTCAGCTGACACAATCCATTCAGACATTTAATTTCTATATTAACCCCCACAGATTGTTCAGCTGACAGAATCCATTCAGACATTTAATTTCTATATTAACCCCCCACAGATTGTTCAGCTGACAGAATCCATTCAGACATTTAATTCTATATTAACCCCCACAGGTTGTTCAGCTGACAGAATCCATTCAGACATTAATTTCTATATTAACCCCCCACAGATTGTTCAGCTGACAGAATCCATTCAGACATTTAATTTCTATATTAACCCCCACAGATTGTTCAGCTGACAGAATCCATTCAGACATTTAATTTCTATATTAACCCCCACAGATTGTTCAGCTGACAGAATCCATTCAGACATTTAATTTCTATATTAACCCCCACAGATTGTTCAGCTGACAGAATCCATTCAGACATTTAATTCCTATATTAACCCCCACAGATTGTTCAGCTGACAGAATCCATTCAGACATTTAATTTCTATATTAACCCCCCACAGATTGTTCAGCTGACAGAATCCATTCAGACATTTAATTTCTATATTAACCCCCACAGATTGTTCAGCTGACAGAATCCATTCAGACATTTAATTTCTATATTAACCCCCCACAGATTGTTCAGCTGACAGAATCCATTCAGACATTTAATTTCTATATTAACCCCCACAGATTGTTCAGCTGACAGAATCCATTCAGACATTTAATTTCTATATTAACCCCCACAGATTGTTCAGCTGACAGAATCCATTCAGACATTTAATTTCTATATTAACCCCCCACAGATTGTTCAGCTGACAGAATCCATTCAGACATTTAATTTCTATATTAACCCCCACAGATTGTTCAGCTGACAGAATCCATTCAGACATTTAATTTCTATATTAACCCCCCACATATTGTTCAGCTGACAGAATCCATTCAGACATTTAATTTCTATATTAACCCCCCACAGATTGTTCAGCTGACAGAATCCATTCAGACATTTAATTTCTATATTAACCCCCACAGATTGTTCAGCTGACAGAATCCATTCAGACATTTAATTTCTATATTAACCCCCAAAGATTGTTCAGCTGACAGAATCCATTCAGACATTTAATTTCTATATTAACCCCCACAGATTGTTCAGCTGATAGAATCCATTCAGACATTTAATTTCTATATTAACCCCCACAGATTGTTCAGCTGACAGAATCCATTCAGACATTTAATTTCTATATTAACCCCCACAGATTGTTCAGCTGATATAATCCATTCAGACATTTAATTTCTATATTAACAGGTTGTTCAGCTCATAGAATCCATTCAGACATTTAATTTCTATATTACAGTTTTTTACAATCACTTTGGCACTAATTTCAGAACCTTGACGTCATTTTTCAAAACTCTAGACACAAAACTCAAAACGGTCATCACTTGTAACACAGGCTGTCCAATGTTCAAAACATTGCATTGTGCATTCATATCTTTAAATAAATCTTGCACTTGCACAATCATTGGTTCAAAAAAGAAATGTATTGTGAAATACCAATGAAACGTTAATTTAGATCACCCACACAAAAGCAACCGATAGTTCCACTGTGTCATTGTTCGTACGATCATTAAATATTGTAGTACAAAATAGGTGATACATGTTTCATTATGGTACTATATGTAAATACATCCCTGTAAAAGTACTGCAGTAGTAGAGAGAATACTACAGACACAGTGGAATCATTTAACAAAATCTGAAATATATTGATGAAAAATACTACAGTACTGTAAAACATCAAATGCAGTGTTCCTCAACTTGCTTGTACTGTAAAAAGCAAAACATAGGAGTGATTACTGTACTTCTACATTTTCATCAACTCTGTTTTGTGGATTTGGCCACAGGTTCTCATCTACATCACAATGGATGTTTTCATTAGCCAAACATCTTGGAAAAAACCTTTGGCCATGGCGAATCCAGGCCTGACACTGGTCTGCCGTGATGTCATTGCATGCATCATCCATGGCCTGGAGAAGAGTGACTTGTTCATGAGGGCGCCTATCATAAACCTTCCATCTCCATGTGGAGAAATATTCATTAATCGGGTTAAGGAAAGGAGAGTATGGGGGTAAATACAGGGTGGTCAATTGTGCATGGGCCTGAAACCATGCTTGCACCATATGAGCATGGTGGAACCTGACATTATCCCATACAATGACATAGGTCACACCATCAGCTCTACAGACCTGATCGAGCTCATCAAAGAAGTTTACAAGGGGACCATAGAAACGGTGTCTGATAAAGAATGATGATGAAATATTACATCCATAGATAATGTAGTCTAATTGGTTCATGCTCCACGCTAATTGGTGGCAATGAATCTCGTTATCTTGAAACTTTCATGATCTAAACATGGAATATTGTTTGTCTGTTTCCATACAACTATGCATTAAGAGCAATGCAACAGTTACTTATCATTTTGAGCAGTTGTATCAATTGATAGTTGGATAATTGTAATGAAATGAATAGACACTCATCTGAAATGTAATGTGTGAATTGCCTTTTGAAATAGT